TTCAAACCGCAGTAATCTGAAAATTAATATTAAAATAAAAAATTTTAATTTATATACTTTCGTTTTATATAAAACAACTCAAAATTTAAAAATAGAAATTTAGACGAAAATAAAATTAGAAAAATGCCACAATTAGTACCTTTTTATTATATGAATGAAGTAGTCTTTGCTTTTATAATAATTGTATTAGTTCATTATATCTTCTCTAAATATATTTTACCTGGAATGGTTTACTTATTAGTTTCTCGTATATTTATAGTAGAAGATTTAGAAGATATATTTTACTAAATAAATTTTTATTATATAATTCAGACTAATTTAATTAGACGAAATTCTGTTATTTAAGGACCTATCCAATAATTAACAAATTAATTTTAATAGTAAGAAAAAAAAATGAATTACAATAACTTTATAGCAAATAATGAAATATCTAGTCCTTTGACACAATTTGAAATAAGAGATTTATTTAGTATTGAATTGCCTATACTAAATAATTTACATATTTCTTTAACTAATATAGGATTATACTTAACAATAGGATTTATATTTATAGTCGTAATAGGAATATTAGGTGTAAATAATTTTAAATTAGTAGGGAATGGATGATCTTTAGGTCAAGAAACTTTATATGCAACTATTCATGGTATAGTAGTAAATCAAATTAACCCTAGAAGCGGTCAAGTTTATTTCCCATTTATTTATACATTATTTATTTTTATCCTAATAAATAATTTAATAGGTATGGTGCCTTATAGTTTTGCATCTACAAGTCATTTTGTTTTAACTTTTGCTCTTAGTTTTACTATAGTATTAGGTGCAACAATCTTAGGTTTCCAAAAACATGGGTTAAAATTCTTTTCTTTACTAGTACCAGCTGGTTGCCCATTACCTTTATTACCTTTATTAGTTTTAATTGAACTTATATCTTATTTAGCTCGTAATATATCTTTAGGTTTAAGATTAGCTGCTAATATTCTATCAGGTCATATGTTATTACATATCTTAGCAGGATTTACTTATAACATTATGTCTTCTGGTATAATATTCTTCCTATTAGGGTTAATACCTTTATCTTTCATAGTAGCCTTTTCAGGTTTAGAAATAGCTATAGCTTTCATACAAGCTCAAGTTTTTGTAGTTCTAAGTTCTTCTTATATAAAAGATGGATTAGACTTACATTAAAAAGAATAAAATTTAAATAAAGTAAAAAAAAAATGATGATAATGATGATGAAAAAAATGAGATTTAATAAATTATTAATATTGCATAGTCAATTATGCAGGTTTTCCTTAATTATTTTTTTAGGAATAGTTATATGTTTAGGATATTTATTTTAT